AAACGCGCGGGCTCATCGAGCTCATGGATGTTGGTCACCTGTTCTGAGCGTCTATTATTCGTGAAGGACGCAGACGGCGGCTGGGTGCCCTGGGTAGCCGTGACCTGCGAGATTGGCGCGACTGGCCGCTTCGATTTAGACGCGTTTCTGGGGCATGCCGTGAAGTGAAAGTCAAGGGCCATCGGCCTGTCCCGCGCCAAATCAGAGAAGACCTCCCAGTCGTGGGTGCCCAAGACGCGGGCAGCTCCCGGCGTCCTTCGCAGGCTTGTCAAGGGCGGCCCATCAGAAATGCCCGTGGAAGTCAATAAACATAACGGAAATGTAACCCGTTGTTTCTGTCAGGCCCTGTGGGTCTGGCGTCGCGCGTCGGCAATCTCAGCGTCTGCCCCATTCGCCCCCTGGGCCCGAGGTGGCCGAGCGGCGCTGGCCTATAGCCGGTGGGGCCGGGCAGTTCGCGGGGGCGGGCGACCGCGCGAGGGCCCGCCCAGCCATGTCGACGACCCCGGGAGCTCGGTCGGTCGGGTCCTTTTGGACCGACCGGCACATTGAAATCCTTGCGCGAATGCATTTGCTCAGGGGGTCAACTTTTTTTCTGGCCCCCGCGGGGCTGGGGTGCTTCTTCGGCCCCGCTCGCGTCTGTGGGGGGCGAGTTTTTTTGGGGCCTTCCGTGGTTGTTCCATCGCTCGGGGGGTGGCGTGAGATTCGGACTCGCAGGGCATTTCCCCGACGGGGCCGTCGACGGGTAGACCGGCCAGCGGGGCCGCTGGACCCGAGGTGAGTTTTCGACCGACGCGGGCGCTGGGTGGCCCCGATGTGGGAGACCGCGCGATGCAAACTGTTGCATTGGGCGTTTGACTCGAGCTGATGATTGGGCCCTGGTGCGGAGAGGCCCGAGCGCGTCCATCGGGGGCCTTCAGGCTGGCCTCCGGCACCTCGCGACCCGAGCTCAGTCTCGACTGCCGGGTCCGATCGCCAGCGACGCGCTCGACCGCGAGATGGCCAATGTGAGCCCCGACAGCGCAGAATGGATCGAAGCCATGGGGCCGTTGGATGTACTGCGACTTCCCGCGCAGTCTAGAGGTGATCTCGTGCTGCTCCCCAAAGACGGAGTCGTCCAGCACGTGGCCCCCGCAGCTGTTCGCGGCGCGGGCTGCGCTTGCCCCCGAGTTTGCGGGCGGCGGCTGCATTCTTGGGCGCCTGCCTTTCCCGGCCCGACGAAGCCCAGCTACTCGGCAATGATGCTCTTCAAAAGTCAGGGGAGCTGTCCGGGCATTGGGGTGTCGCGTCGCGAGGCTTTTCGGCGCCGCAGGCTTCGCCGGGCAGTTCCCGCGTGGGCGGGGGCCGCCGAGAGCTGGGCGTGGCAGCGGCGGTTCCCCCTCTTGATTTAGGAAAATTGCACGACGCGCAGCGCAGCAGTGCAGGGCGCCTGCGTTGCATCTGGGATGTCCCGCGGTCGCCCTTCCACGCAGTCTTGCAGCAAAATAAAGAAAGCGTCCTCGTCGTCCCAGGGGCCAGGCGTGATTCAGCGAGAAGATTCAGCATTGCCGCGACGTGATTGCGGGATCTTCGCATGGGGGCTTCCTTGCGAGAGCCTGCTTTAGACGAGTTCTACGTCGTGCCCATCGCAATTGCGGCCTGCAGATCATGCTTCGCGCCCTCGTCGGCGACTCCGGCGTCCGAGCTGAAGGGGCCCGGCGAGTTGTCTGGGATGGGGTGGCCGGCTCAGGCGCGGCCCCGGCGAATGACGTGGTCAAGGCAGGCCTTGCGTCGAGCTGCGAGTTGGTTGCGGCGGTCTCGCCCGGCGCCCGCCACGCTGAATCCGCCGCGAAGCCCGCGGCCACGTGGAGATGGTCCGCTGTCGAGCCATGGGCGTTCGGAGAAGGACGTGGCGCCGGGCGCCTGGACGTTGCGAGTGCTTCGTGGTCCACGGGCGCCAGGCCCCAGAGCGCATGCGCAGTTCCAGTCGGCGGTGCACCTCGCCGCCAGCTCGCTCAGCCACGATGTCGGGCAGGGCGGGCCCCCTGGGTCAGGTCCTGGAAGAAGCTAAATGCGTTTGCTTGCAGCGGGTCTCGGGCGCGTGGCCCAGCGGGAGTTTTGCGGAGAGAGCGCCTTGTTGCTCGGCTCAAGACGCGGCGAGGCAGCCCCGACATGCAGCTTCGCGTTGCCCAGCGTTGCGCCGAGATTTATGCTCGCTTTCGACTCGCGGGCTCTCGGCGTTGGCGGTCCGTGAAAGATCCGATCGGCGCCGCCGCGGCCGCTTTCGCACGGCGCGCAGCGGGCGCTTCAATATCCGATGGGGTGGGGCGTGGATGGCGGCTTCACTTGGAAGATCCAGCCCCCTGGGGGCGCTTGCCCCCGAGGCTTCCACGGGCATTTCGCAGACATTTTGGATGGCGCGGAGTCTTATACTGATCGTCAATCGTGGGCGTCTGCGTTGCGACGCGAAGCAGGTGGCGAGCTCGTTGGCGCTTCGCTTGTCAGGAGAGAATTTGCCTTGTTCGAAGCTGACGAGGACGGCGGCCAGCGGGCGCTCCGCGTCATCGCATGGGCGCAATGGCCTCGCAAGAGGCCGGGCGAGTTTCTCTTCCATCGCGCGTGGGAATGTTTTGATAACGCGAGCCGCAGTGTTTCTGAATCTTCTGAGCATCTCCCGGCGAACACCATGCTCCAGCAGGCATTTTTCATAGCTGTGGGCTTCAAGGCCTCCCGGGCGCGAGCGAAGCCATTCCGACGTCCACCGGGCCCCCTCCCGCGGCGGTTGCATTCCGACTTCTATCGGACTTCCCCGGCGACGCCCATCAGTTTGTCGCGATTTGCGCGGGCGGGGCGGGCGGCGGGTTTTCGGGCGACGTTCGGGGTCGCGGGGTTGGTGCTGGCATTCCAAGTTTCATTCCATGCGGGTGTCTTTGGCGCCCCGCGGCCAGTCAAGGAGCGGCGTCGCAGGCGCAGGGGCAGAGTGCGCCGAGAGTTGGGGGCATTTCGTTTCTCATGGCCGTTGAAACCACGGTCGGGGACTTCAGGTGCGTTCCTGACTTTCGCTGGCTCTTTGACGTGGAACGGGGGTCGGCAAGTTGGCGGGCCGTGTGAAGAGTTTGTTTGCAGGCCCCCTAGCGCGAGAGCAGCAGCGTCAACTATCGAGCCCCTCTGGGGAGGTTGGCGGGCGTGAGCTGGTTTCGCCGGCGCTGTTTTCGCCGGCGCCGGTTTCGCCCCGCTGGTTTCGCCGACGGCTGGTTTCGCCGGCGCTGGTTTCACCGACGCTGGTTTCGCCCCGCTAGTTTCGCGCTGCTGGTTTCGCCGGCGGCTGGTTTCTCCGGCGCTGGTTTCGCCGGCGCCGTCGTCGCCGCGGGCGGGCGGGCCCTAGCGGGCGGGTCGGGTCGGATCGGGCGGGCGGGCGGGTCCTGACGGGCGGGTCGGGTCGGGCGGGCGGTGCGTTAAAGCATGGGGCGCGCTCGACCGAGCACGCGCGAACCTTGGCGGGCGGGTCGGGTCGGGCGGGCGGGCCGTCGCGGGCGGGTCGGGTCGGGTCGGGCGGGCTCCTTGATTGGCGGATCGTGTCGGGCGGGCGGGCGGGGCGTGAAAGTGCGTTTTTTTTTTTTTTTTTTTTTTTTTTTTTTTTTTTTTTTTTTTTTTTTTTTTTTTTTTTTTTTTTTTTTTTTTTTTTTTTTTTTTTTTTTTTTTTTTATATATATATATATATATACACATATAATTTTTATATATATATATATGTATATATATATATATATACACACATTTTTTTCTCTGAGAACTGCGCGTGCGAGGAAGGGCGGGGGCAGTGGCTGGGGCTTGCGAGAATAGCCGGGGACGAGGCAGGAACAGTGGGCGAGCGGGTGGGGTGGTAGAGTGTGCTGTTCATGGAAGTGTGGCAGTCCCCTGGCCTGCCAAGGCTCCATGGTTAGGAGAAAAACAGGAAGGAGGAGGAGGAGGAAAAGGAGGAGGAGGAGGAGGAGGAGGAGGAGGAGGAGGAGGAGGAGGAGGAGGGGAAGAAAAAGGACGACGACGACGACGACGAAGGACGGTAAGGAACCCGACGCAAATGACGTCGAACAAGACCTCCTTTTGCTCACCAGTTTTTTCCCTAGCCTCCCCCTGCTGCTGTTTTTCTCCGATCGGGGCGGGTGTCCGGCTGGCCAGGGGCAGGCTGCGCGCCACGCATGGTCATTCTCCACGCGCTGGGCTCCTAAGTCGGCCCCTCGGCATTCAAAGCTCGCAGGCGGTTTTTCTCCCCCAGTCCCCAGGTTCTGCCAGAAAAATCTGGCCACCCGGAAAGAAGGGGGAAACCTTGGGATACACCCCAAGTGGGCTTTTCGGACGCCCCCTATCGAGGATGGACACCCTCCTATCGTATATCCCAGAGTTTGTCCCCGAATTTCCGGTAAACCCCACGAAGCCTGGGATAGGGGTCGACATATCCGCTGTCAACAGCAGTCGCCAAAGAAGGTAAAACGGCATAAACGTAAACTCTCGACGGTCCGCGCAAATTCCTTGGATCCGCGCTGGACCACCCTGGCGGGGCCTCCGGCGCCGCCCCTGGCGCGCGCGCTAGGGAGGGGGGCTCCAGCGCATATCCGAGAAATCCGCGCGGACCTCCGAAAGTTTATCTTTATGCCTGTTTCTGTTCCACCATTTCAGGCGGCATCGGTGAGTTTGGGGACGAAGGTCTGGACGGCTCGCGAACCTCGTCCTTCGCCGGTCGCAGCGGCCCGTCGGCCGCTGGGCTGCAGCCGCGGGGCCAGTCAGGGGAGTGCCCAGTTTCTTCTTGCTGCCCTCCTGCTCAGATCACGTGCTGCGTACAGTCAAAATCGACGATGAGGATTGGCCACCTTCCTGAGGATACCCTTGCATCCATTACCTCTCCGGTCCATCCCCAACCACTTTCGATGGCTAGCCCCGCTCGATAAGCGTCGACATGGGCGTCCAAGGGGCTTGCATCCTTATCGCACATCCTTACTATCAATTTTGATTGGACTGCCTGCCAG